AGTTTTGTTCAAATTTCAGAACTAAGAAAGTTGTTCAATTATATCTAAAATAATTTTATTGTACCTTGAGAACCAGGCACCGGAAACGAGGTAGATGCGTGAATTACTTCACAGAAAAGTCAGTACGGAGATGTAGTGGCTGGAAAGCGTGACCAGTTCATGAATAGTTTTATAGAAGGCCGGTTCACTGCGATGATGAGAGAACCTCTGAGATGCGTCTCCCACCCGTCATTCATCAAGATGGATTATCACTCCCGTCTCCTGCCTCATTCCTTTCTTACTCCTTATTCGATACCTGTCAGCTGGTAGAAGGAGGAGAAGTGTTCTAAACCATAACCGAAGACGTGAGTTTTCTGCAAGAATACTACTTATACCTCACCCTATAAAGTAAACAGGTCAGCACTCCGAAACGAACCCTGCCCCAGCAGGTCATGCGCTTCAGCTGGAGGACCATTTCTCTACACAGGTTTGGTCCCGCCTAAGAAACCTCCACATTGATATGACTCGCTTTCAAATAAATCCTGAGAAAAACGCATACAATAAATTGTTCAGTGTGCAGTATGTCATACGCACCTACGGGACACTTGCGCATTCAGAACCTGTGAGACTGAATCACGAGCAGTCCTTCATTGCAATACACACCAAAGTATAATCGAAGAGGGAGCATCTTGGGAGTTTCGAAGAGGCAAGACAAGAGAATTCAGAATGGACTATATCTTATAACTGTTACCTGATCGGTCATCAATGAGCCCACTGCGTATGTGCACATGAGGTCTCCGCTTAAGGTTGGGGAAAATACTAAGCTGGTATCTGGAGCCTCGATCTGTTCCCCGCGAGTTGCAGCGAGGCAGTACCCTTCCTCCTCTCAACCTATGGCTCCATCCCCCCTCACTTATGCCTTTGTTTCATGTACAGTTGCCAAGATTCTGTTATAAATTTGCTATTTGACTACATCATTTTGAAAAATACGGCACCATCTGTTAACCAAACAAATAAAAATAGGTGAATAAATCTTCGTTATGAAATTACACGTTATTGTTACAGTGGGATATTGTTCAATGAAATCGACCTTGTAATGTAAAGGCGGAATGTTATAAGTTTGACTGGATATCCTTCTCAATGTGTTCTGCTGAAATTAGCAAGATGTATCGCAAAGCTCAAAACCACGTTTTGCTGTCAAGGAGAACGACTAGTGTAAGAAAGCTAAAAATAAAAGTAGGCATAGACTTAGCACATCGATTTATTTATATCTAGTGAATTCATTTGAGAACAGAATCGCTAGGCAGAAAAAGAAATTACACACAAGATCAGAATGACATTTTGAAGCGATAGGTTCTCGTCCAAAAGTATACAACAGATTAAATTTGCCGCACCAGCCACAATCGATGTGTTCCTTCCTATGTTTACAGAAGCATAGAACCGTATATGTAATATGTAGTGACGAATCTGCAAAGTGCGCTCACGGCGCACCAGCTTCTTGCGCTTTGCCCATGAGCCGCACAGTGGGCACTGCGCTACCCATCCCGCCCTCAATCCAACTTCATTTTCGGAGGGAGGCAAACATCTTTTCGTCAAGGGAGCGATTGTCGTCGGCAGAGCCCGAAACGCCCACCAAGATCTACCGCCTTGCTCCAGCTTCCTGCCGTGCAGCAACCTGTCTATAGGATCCTTCAAAACATCACCGACTCTCCTTAGCCACAAAAATGAATCCGAGTGATGATGGGGAACAGCCATCAGATGAGATTAAGCTCATCTGATCTTCATTCTAGTCACCGCCATATTGTCTCGCTGGTGTAGTGGCTGGGCAGCAAAAGGATGCCATAGGGCATAGCGCAACAAGCCTGTCGCGCGGTAAAAGGAAGTGATGCGAAGACAACGTTAATAAGTCGCCAGGACTTTTGTATTCAAGCGAGCATTTAAAGTTGATTGAACAGCGCACCACTGATTTCACTGCATGGAATCAGCAGTTTCTTTCGATTTCTGGTTGATTACGATTTTTTCTGCAAAGCACTCATGAGTCATGATGTCAATAAATCGATAATAATTCGCGTTATCAGAAGAATGCTTAGTCATCAGAACAAATCATTTGACGTTAGTTACATGAATAGAAGAAAGCCATTGAGGAAACTACCCGTCCAAACACTATTTCAACCTACAAGATTCATTCAACAGGGAGTAAATTACTAAAACGATGTCATGGAGGGAGATGAGAACGAACCTTTAGAGATGCTGGCCAGAGAGGTCCACCTGCCACCCCGAGCTGGTAGTAACGCGGCTTAAATAGGTAAAGCCTTCAGGTCATTTGCTTTAGGGACCTCCGGAGGGTTGATCATGTAGATCAAATCACTCCAAAGGACCCTCGAGGCTAGGCGCGCGCGCTGAACCCCCTGAACCCTTATTATTGATTACTATGCAGCCCCCCACCCGTCCCGCCAGGAAGACCCCGCGGTGATAGTATATATGAATAATTATATATGAACTATAAGATAGATATATATGAATAACGGCGAAGGTGTAACACCAAAGTTCGAATCAGAAGGAGGTCTGCCTAAATTCGAGTTTTCCTCTTGAAATTCATTCCTCTTTTCCTCTTTCCTCCCTCTGGCACTGGAGTTGGTGATGAAGAGAAATATCAATGAGCAGGTGGTTTACCGTAACTCACTAAAGCATTTACGTTCTTAGAATAGAATAGTTTGGTACTGAGCTTCCGACCAAGATTCTATTCTGAAAATATGCCAAGATTGATACAAAGTCGAACTTGGACACTACTGAGTGTCGTTATGTTCACTACCTAAGCAGGTTGAAAACAACAAATAAAGTATTTTTCGATAAGATATCAAATTAAAATGAGGAAAGATCCTTCATTCGGTCAAGCATATGGAGTACAGCTATTAGTGTTCAGAGTGGTGGGTGTGAACATCTTCCGGAGACTTTTTTTCACTTGGAATATTAGCGAGACAGCTTTCTAAGTTCTTGTTCGGAACTGAATATCAAACCCCAAGCATGTCATCTATAGTGTTGCTCACAGTGCTACTGGTGGGCGCTGCAATGACTCAAAACTCGATAGAAGGATCGTACAAGATACGATATAAGAAAGCGGCGTTCTGGAGGCTGCTGTTCTGACTTGCTGCCTCTTCCTGCAAGAGAAGAAAAAACTTATCACTTGTATGTGCATGCGTGTGTAGGTCTGTTGTTGGTTTTTCCCGAAATATGTACATAGCGCGTGGACCAGCAGTCGTCAAGAATTGATATCAGAAAATGGTATACGGGCTGGAGCATGTTTGGTGGGTGACAAAAACTGATAACAACTGATAGGATTATCATGAATGTGGAGGAATCGGTAAAGCTGAGATCTAGATGCGCGATAAGAAAAACGTTCCATTTTGTTCGCGATGTCCGTCGTCAGCACCGAAGCCCATTCGACCGCTAATCTATCGAGTCCCTGATGATGGTCAGTGCTTGCGGAAATGCGACAAGTATTGTGTTGCCATTTCAATGTTAGTGGTGTAAGAAGTTATTCAACCACTATACCGTCTTAACATCCGAAGCATGGTAACTGTTTGCGCTGAGCGCTGATGGTAAGCAACGAAGCGCCTGCAAACACAAGGGCTCGCTTGAATTGGCACGATTCCTGGTTTTGCCAGAGAAATCGAAACGCTTCTAGCAGGAGATGATATTTTCCAATTCGTGCGCTGCGAGGTGTTACTGTAAGAATGGCGTGAGTGATGGGACCATACTTTATATATGCATTGCACTGAATGCTTCAAAATAATTCCTAAAAGGGTTACAACTTGCAGACATAAACGGAAGACGGCCCAATACCTCCACAGTCGCACGGTAAGTGAATCTCGAACAAAATTGAAAACTAAAAGTTACAGACAATAAATGCACGCCGTTTTTTATGCGAGAAAAATATGACTGCATTCTTCCGCCTCTACAAGACAAACGTGTGTGAGGGCAGTGAGGAAGTGAGCACATGAGAAGCATGCTAAACTTCGTCGACCACATTCCTATTGTTGTTGTTGGAACTATCGTGGCATACGGATAACACCCACACTACCCGCTCCATATCGCCTGAATTATAGACCATTGGTATCAGAATAGGAAGCCCAGTCAAATGATTATCAGGTGTGAAAGTAGTTAAATAAATGCTGAATCATGAATAGCCATTAACCGATCGTTCATGCAACTGTGATACATCCACTGATTCAATTCTGGTTCAAAAACTTCAACAGTGTCGAGGATGGTATTGCCGTCATACCCGCCAACAGCGTACAGCCTTGCACCAGCAACGGCCAATGCTACCTGAATAAAGGAGTATTCCAATTTTCCTATATTTCAGTAATGGGGTAATGGTGAATATAAAGGGTGTCCCAGATCCACTGTCATCGATGTGTTGACTTGCAAAATTGAAAAACTGTGAGTAAACCCGTAATCTATTTATTTTATTAATGTCGCATACAATCATTCGCAACAATCTAGCATGTCATTCTAGGCTGGCTTGAGGCCCGAGGCCTGCTACCTGGGATGACTGATTACTCATGATGCTGGTGCAGGCGAAGCACTCTAATCACCGTTTCTTCAGTGATGCTGACCTTTTTCTTCCAAGTAGGTAGTAGTTGTTCACTAGTATCTTGTTTGACTAATAGTATGGTTGTCCACTAGTATCTTGTTTCACTGTGCCTTTTGACTTTTGCAGTGTTCTTATGGAGAGTGTAAGAAATTCAACAGCAGTGTGCCCTGTTTTGCGAAGTCGATCACAGATCGCACAGAACAAGCTTTCCCTGACTTTGGCCATAATGGAAATATTGGGAGCTTCATTCAGTGGCGACATAGTTTACAAGAAAGCCTGCCTGCACGAAATAATTAATCGCAAGCAAGAAGAAAATAATTGATACCTCATGTCTGATAAGTTTTGAATTCTGCTGACAGTGATTTCGGGACACCTTGTATAACAAGCGCGGTGTATACACTCACGAAAAGTCGGCTGGTGTTCATGTCTGATACTGCAGTCCACTCATTGGTGAAGGGATTGTATTTTTCGACTGAACTCAGTTGGGATAAGCCATCGTATCCTCCCGCTGCGTACATTGCGCCATGTAGTACGGCAGATCCCAAATTCTGACGCCGCGTCGCCATCGAAGAAACCATCTCCCACTTACCAACTCGTGGATCAAGCCTGCAACGTGGGTTTTCATCTCTGTGTTTCGCGTTTCTTCATCGGTCGGAGAAAGGTTGTTTCGCCAATACAGGCATATTGTAAATGGTGAATCTTTTTCAAGAAGAAATTTTTTTAGAAAGTTACAAAAAAATCGTGGAAAAAGTCAAAGTTCTCGTGGGAATTGAACACAACTGGATACCATTAATACAGCACCGTTCACCTCTCTACAGTATTCAGCACTGATTGCTTATCGTATCCTCCGACGACGTATAAACAGCCATTAAGGACAGAAAGAGAAGGCCCGTGTCGACATTCACGCGTGGATGCGACGCGGATCATATCTCGCCGGCAAGTCATAAGCTATAACATTTTGCATAATAAGAATGATCAACAGTGTATATTGACGGTGACCTCGGCACGTTCCACAACATCCAAGCTTTTTCACCATCAGAGCCACCGACTGCATAAAGAAAGCCGTCAAGCGCAGCCACACCAAGTGATTCCCGACAAGTAGACATCGGAGCGATACCATTTGACCATTCGCAAGTATTAGGGTCGAATCTAAAGTAATCTTCCGAAATAGTAATCCGGAATTCTTTCAGTATATGTATACAGCAGCCGTTGAAAGTTCATTCTTTCGATATTTGGCTTAGCGCAGCCAGTGAACAACAAATTTGTAACATATTCACAATAAAGTTAGGAAATCAAGCGTAGGATACTATGTGCAACGTTAGTTCTTAAAATTGAAAGCCACTAGAAATATATTTTTTGAAATGCACAAGTCAAAAGTTAGAGTCTAGAATACCAAGACGAATGAATCAGTAATCGTATACTGCAACGGAAATTCGATGATGAATCGCCTTTTTATCGACACCGCAATAGACTGATTGTACATGATTTTTGACTTGCAACCGTACTGCCACTTTTTGTCACCAATCGAATTTTATTTTGGACGGCTTTGTGGAATGGGATTTTTCGACATGATGAACTTTCTTAAGATACAAATTAGTTGTAGGTTGGTCGTGACTTTGATCGTACATGGACAGTAATTTTTGCCCGAGTTTGAGCAGAACGGGAGGCTTTCATTGGATCACTGTGGTGGGAGGAACCCCTTTAACTAGTTCTATACACTGTGCTCTTCAGCTATCCTTATAACTTGCCGAGTCCGCATTGCTGAAGCTGAATACTGCGAATGAAAAACCGAATGATCTGACGCATATTCCCGACTCCTTCTGATTTTCGGAATCTAACAACTAAGACAGCGGTGTTTACAATTCGGCCAGCACAGCTTCATCAAGACTCACAACAATGCAATTCTATTTGGAAAGCATGGAGGTTAGAATTGTTCACTCAGCACAATTTGACTCTGTCGTCCAGACCGGCCGTAATTGGGCGGGAGAGGACTCGCCTTCTTTGAAATGATCTTTGTGAAGCATCTTTATGAACATTCACCAGCGATCGCTCCCAGGTTTTCGTCAACAGCATGCACAAATTCGGCGTCAACCAACCGGTCCGACCGAGCATCTGCTTGAGAAAATCGTTTTCTGGGTCGGGATGAGGATATCGGGAGAACAGACAAGCCGACCACTCTTCGAAGTTCTAAAGACTAGCCGCTATGTCGAGAAGCCGTTTTTGTGGAACAAAGATTCTTCTTTTCCCTCCCTGGCTGTGACAACGCTGGAAAGTCTCGCCAACAGCGCTTTCGTAGAGATCGAGCGCTGAGAACTTGGAAAAAAAAAAAAAAAAAAAATTTTGTTTATTCTGATTTACCGGACTACAGGTCCAGAGTCTAGACAAATGTCTTTAATGAAGATAATTGATTTTTTAACACCAATACATTCGAAATTAACATAAAAACTGGTAAGAAAACTGAATGACAACAAAACATTGAAACACTGAGGCAAAACAAAAAATATGATGAGAAGGAAAAGGAGCAGAAGTCTGCAAAGTGCACAGTTGGGCACAATTTTTGAAAAAAATCATACTTTATGATTATTATCCGCGATTTCGGAAGTTATGTTGCACATCATATCCTCCAGTTGATTTTTTTAGGAAAATGTTAGGTAATTTCCTCATTGATTAGCCGCACTAAATCACAATAAACAACTCTTCACACTTTTGACCGCTTGTGTATTCATATTGTCGAGCATGACAGCTCGCCCGCCAAAAAGTCGGACAGTCGCTGATTTGAATGTCCTCAAACGCAGCTGAGGGGAATTTGGCGATTACCAAAATGTGTACAGCGCATTGCAGAGTAGAATTTGTTTTATTTATTTACTGTTGGTCTATCACAAAAGCGGCAATACACAGTAATTATCGAGTATTTGTCATTTGATTGACTTAGAGTAAATTAGCTGAGAGAGAAACTTCTCAATGGAGTAGAGAACTCCATAATGGCTCCACAGCCAGTGCCGCTTAGTCTTACAAAGAGAGATTATCAATTACAGACAATATATTTTATGCACCGATACATTCATGTAGACCGAATAGGCACTTGTTTTAGAGAACCACTAGCCACCGAGTCCCTGAAAATAACCGACTGCTGAGGCCGCAGCACTACAAGGGCGGGTGCATTTGCACCTCTTTGATCTAAACACGAAACCCTAGGAGCTGGCTGCGGGGTGCAGGGTCGGTCCTACAGTTGCTACAAAGTAGCAAGGAGCGACGGTCGCTACTTGGCGTGACGTTGTGTGTAGGAGGGGGGTCGTATACTTGACTGGTGACGTTGTAGGGAGGGGGTGGCTTACTTGGCGTGCGGTAAGTAGAGGGGGCGTATTTGCATTACACACTCCTAGCAGATGGTGCGGTTGGATGATAGGGTGGGTGTGGGGGAAATGCTGGGAGGGAAAATGAGCGAATATTGGACGGCTTCGCTGTAGTAGATACCCCCCCAACACCGCCCGCTGACGAATTTTTTGGGTAAAAAGGTGTTTAGAAGAGGGGGTAGTGTGAAAATTACTTCAAATCTGTCAAGGGGAATAGGGCGGGTCGTAAAAAATTTGGAAATGTAGCCAACGAATTGGCGACCGGACCTGCTCGGAAGGGTGGCTTTACGAAAGAGCAATCTTCTGGTTGCGCAAAAGTGGTTGAAGTCGGATGGAGAGGTAGATTATCCAATGACGGATCTTTATTAAACAGAAACCAGCGCGAATAAAATATTGCTCAAGGGAAGCATAGCACGTTGAATGACAAATTACTCGATTTACGTTTCGAAGTTGCAAAAGGCTCAGAAGTTAAGTACAGGACAATGTGACTAGAAGGCAGGTGAGAGTCCTCAGTGAGCTCGTTGTTTCTACTGTGGGATGGTTAATAAGTTCTAAGTATATGTTGTCAGGGATTTTTTTGCTCACACATGCTAACTATATGCTCTGTCTTACCTATCACAGCATTAAAATAAGAGGAAGCGCGAATGTTTCCAATACATGTTAGCACATCTTGTCTGTTCACATCGAGCAGACATACATGTGCGGTCTCAAAACCCCTCCTTTCTGTGACAGTTACACCTTTGGGAAAATCGCATCCGCCAAAAGAGCAGAATAGGGTAGAATTGGTGGAGTTTCAAGTGCTGTTTACCAAGCACACTGCTCGGAACCATTGGAGTTATGTCGTCCAAGCCAACCAACCCTCCGGAGTAAATTGGTTGGTACACTTGTTGGGCAGAAGATGCACACCGACTTGTGGCCCCTTACTAATCCAGTACATGGGTCAAATTGCAATCCGATGCTACTACGACGCTGATGGAATTGTAATGCGTGGCGCATATTAAAAAGGTTAATTTCATAGAAGGCCTTCTTTATGCGCTATGCCTCTTATGACAGCAAAGCCAATAAGTCACTACTCGTATCGAAGTGCTGAAACTTTCTCTCTGATTGCTTGAAAAAGCGAGGAAGGTTGTAATACCTCTCAACGGTATCCAAATAGGACTGTCCATTACAGCCGCCAACTACATAGAGTGAGTTTTCAAGAACAGCAACACCGGCTTCCCACCTAGAACAGGAAATTTTCAGAAGGCATGGAAAAAGCGAAGGCAGTGAAGGAAAATTCTGGAAGAATATGCTAAACCTTGCCGTATTTGACATGGCTTCGATAGACTCCCATCTAGGATCTCCCTGTGAAGTATCAAGACGCTCCATGAAGGCAAGCTCTTCCACACAGCTCGCGCCGCCCACTAAACTTGTTCGACTCGTATGTGATAGCTTAACACGTAGTTGAGAAAACTTGCTATAGTAGCAGAGTGGTTATGTAATTACCTCGCTTTAGATCTTCTGTGGACCGAAATGGAAAGAATTTTCCATTTGATCCAATCTATCACGTGAACGTTGGACAGGGCGTGCACGCCTAGGACTGTCTCTCTCTCTCTACAGCGACTTGCGCCAGTCGTGCGAGAACAGAGCTGCCGTCTTCTCTCGTGAATGGGAGCTCATAGGGCAAGGGCTGGAGGGAGGAGGTGCCCGGCGACGTTCAAAGCGAGCACTCCACTGAAGAGGATTATGATTGGGAATTCAAACACCCGCTCGATGCCAAGGGTATAATCGACGGCTGAGCCCTAATAAGATTTAACCATGGGTGAGGAGGCAGTGATACTCGCAGCGATGCTCTGGAAACATAGATAGGATACAAATCTGGCAGACGAATGCTAGGAGGTCAGAATGTTGGACGAAATGTGAGTATTCACATTTGTTTGGAACTAAAGGTCGGTAGTCGCCAACTGGGGGGATCCGACCTTGTGCGCTATACCGTCGTTGTATTTGGTGGTGATTACATCCACTCAGAAGAGAGCGGTGCCGTGTTGCGGTGCACAGCAGCGTGGATTCCGGGTGACCCCTCAAAAGCCTCACCCAGTTGAGAGAAGGGTCCGGAATACCGAGTCACCTGAGAACGGGACTCGAGGGGCCGTTTCTCAGGAGAGGAGTATCCTTTTCCCAAACGGTTACGCGACACCTTTTCCTCGTGGAGCACGCTCCAATTCTCTGCTGCATAGCCCAAAGTCACAGGAACGTGGAGCGCTGACTGGAACGTTAAACGAAGCGGTTACGATAAAGAGGGAGCGCATCGGGAAGCATGTGCACCACACGAATCAGTTACTTGGCTGCCAGGAAGCGAGATGTGGCGCTTTCACAACGAAAGGTGCGCTGGTTGCTGAGCAGGACTTCGAAAGCGCTCCGCCCCCAAAAGCGATCCGCCCACTAGTTTAGTTGGATTTGGACGAGCTGCGTGGCCAGCAGCGGCGCAAATGGAGCATCTCAGCGTAATTTGGCATGGTCCATGAACGCGTTGCGGTGAACTCGTTCATACGTCCACTTTCTGAGCTGTTACCTGTTCATGAGTGAAAACCAACGGCCGGAAAAAGGGGTGGGTGGGGGCGTTTTGCATTTTTTTTGACGGATGCGTCACCACGTCACACTCCAACCCTTCTTGAATTTATCGTAATCGCTGCCTTTAAGTAACAGGTTTCACGAGAATACCGTTCAACTGATTGTTTTAATTCCTTCTTGCCTATCTCTCCATATTTGCGCTGTGCATCACTTTCGGTAGAGTGCACTGTGACCAAAAAATCTGAGAGAATTAATGGTCTGCGAGAGCATGCATACCGGCGTATATAATCTCGCTAATAGTTACATTCCGTGGTCGAGTGCGCGGACTCAGAATGGTTGGAGGCTCGTGAGTGGACAGTTGAAGAAGCTGATAGTTCTGAAACACCAGCCAGATTACAATTTGGAGATTATGAGTACCCTGTGAGGAGGCGTCACCAATCTTTGCTTCATCCACAAGATCACGGCAGTCGACGTCTTCGTTTACCAGCACATTATCACTAACTGTATTCACAAGAAATTCCGGGCTGCAAAGTGGAAGCCGTACATGCTTCAGCAACTGTAAAAGACAATGACAGCAGCAACTACGCTCCATTGACAAGAGACTGTAAGCCTCACTTGTGAGAAGAATTGTTTCCGGTCTCGCAGGTCATACCTAACCCACTGCAACACAGCTGTGAACACCTTAAAGAATAGTTTATGGTGATCTTGTAAACAAATAAGCATGGAAATTGCCAAAGTGGACACGATGCAGTAGTTGCGAAATCTGATCACGTACCTGCTCTTCTGATCGCACATAGAGCTCATCACTTGAAATTAATTCAACAATTTGGTTGAAAGGGAGCTGGTTAAAATCGTCTTTGTAATATATGTCCTAGAAACGAAAAATACTCAGACGCTAACACTAAGCAAAGAGTAACTAGACGATAACCTGGAAATTCTGCAAGATATACTTGTCAACGCTTCGAAGAAGCCCTTGACAGGCACAGGTATGCGCAAGTGCTCGCATCTTCAAGCAATTTGACAGACTCATTTCGTTCCTCAGAAATTCACAGCACTTCTTCTACAAAAAACCTGTTCCTAGCAAACTCCTGTGAGTAACAGCATATTCACTGTTCGTAGTCTTCTGTGTTGTCACGTATAAATGAGGCCAAGCTGCTTAGGTGTGTATCGGGACCTCACCTGAACCTCACTCAACTGAAGCAAGCAAGCAGCGGGCAGAATACTGTACACATTACTTTCACTGATCGTTATTTCACCAGAATAGCAGAAATCGACAAGACTTTCCAGCGTCGAGGCTTCCATTATCTCTATTTCTACTTCTGCAAAATATGAGTCGTCAAGAGAAATTCAGTGGAGGCTACTGCTGCAGGAGTTACGCAGGGGCATGTGTACGACGTTGCACATACCCATGCTGTTTTTAGACCCGTCATTCACGAACATAGCCTCAAAATACTTTGAACATGCAGCGAGTACGAGTCGATGGGCCTTTATTCGT